AATATAATGGAATGGTACTGATAAAACATGAGTAAATAGTTATTTATTGAAATCTCATTTGGAGGCTTTAGAAAACCTTGATAAAGGCAAGTTTGTTTTAAAATTGCTCTGACATTATGTGTGAGTGAAATAACTGAAGAAAAAGGGGAGGTCATAAAAATCTAGGCCTTTATATTCATATTGCTATCTGAATGTGTTTTAAATCTTAATCTAAGGAAATAACAATGAGAAATGGACAATGTTTTGTGGGTATAGTTTAGGCAAGAAATGGGAAATAGAAGGAGAACAATAAGTCAAAGAAAAGCGCTTGGCCCTACATAGAAAAGATTAGTAAGGCTAGGTATAGTGGCTTAGATCTGTAATTTTAGCACTTTGAGAGCCAAGACAGGAAGATCACCTGAGCTTAGGAGTTCAAGACACACTTGGGCAACATAGTGAGACCTTGTCTCTACAAAAATTAAAAAACAACAACAAAAAAAGCCAGGCATGGTGGCACACACCTAAGTCCCAGCTACTCAGGAGGTTGAGGTAGGATGATCACTTGAACCCAGGAGTCCAAGGCTGCAGTGAGCCGTGATCATACCACTGCACTCTAGGCTGGGTGACAGAGCTAGACCTTCCCTCAAAAATAAAAAACAGTTAGTAAATTAATACATATGTTTTATTAAATGTTTGAGGTATGTGTTGTTTTTATAATTCTACGTTCTATGATTTTGCATTTTACATATCCCAGCTATTTGTGCTAATAATGTCAAGGTTTGAAGGTTGGGTTTTGGCATTTTAGGTTTTTATAATTGCTTTTAAAAAAAATCTAGGAGCCGGGTGTGGTGGCTCACACCTGTAATCTCAGCAGTTTACGAGGCAGAGGTACATGGATCACCTAAGGTCAGGAGTTCGAGACCAGGCTGGCCAACATGGTGGAACCCCATCTCTACTAGAAATACAAAAAATTAGCCAGGCAGGATGGCAGGTGCCTTTAATTCCAGCTACTTGGGAGGATAAGGCAGGGAAATCGCTTGAACCCAGGGGGTGGAGATTGTAGTAAGCCAAGATCGCACCATTGCACACCAGCTTGGGCAACAAGAGTGAAACTCCATCTCAAAAAAACAAAAACAAAATCTAGAAATCTTTCTTTTCTCTTTATGCTTATGCAAGGACACAAGAATTAATTTCTATTTGAAAATTTTTTTTTAATTTATCGTTCTCATTGCCTGGGCAATGGAAACTCCATCTCAAAAAAAAAAAAAAAAAAAAAAAAAACCTAGGAATCTTTCTTTTTTCTTTATGCTTATGCAAGGACATAAGAATTAATTTCTACTTGAAAATTTTTTAAAATTTGTTTATGAAACCATATGAACCCTATACTTTTTAAAGAAATAATTACTGTATTCTTCAGTTTCTTCCAATGTTATTAGTCTGCTTAGAATTACTACCTTTTCATGAATTCTTCAGCCTTAATCATTTACAATTTCCTGGAATATTATCTACTTCAGTAATAATATCGGCATGTGGTTTTATATTCATTTGTTCATTCAACAGATTTCTATTGAATATACACTTTGAACTAGGCTCTAGGCTGAGTAATGGCGATAAAATCAATTGCAATATAGGTCAAGCTCTGCCCATAACTAAGTTTACAGTTTGAAAGACATTGCATTTTGTTAGAGTTTTAGTTTTCTCTCTACATATAGCCGTATCATATTTTCAGTTTCAATGTGTATATGCTGAGTTTTTCCAATTGCCTTAGATTTTCTTTTTAATTCTTAGATTTTTGTCTTTCTTTTTTTCTGCAGTTTATAGGTTGTCTATCATTTTTTTTCTATCAATAGTTCCTAACATATAATTTCTGCTTTACCTTTCTCATGTTCTTTTATTTTTCTGGGGTTTGATTGGTTGTAGGGCTTTTGTTTTTGTTTTTGTTTTTTAATGATGGGGGCTCAATTACATGTATTATCTTCATTAGAAAATTCTAGTTCTTTGGTAAGTGTTTTCTTTACTTTTCCTTTGAAGTGTTTCTCCTCCCTTAGTCTTAAAGAACATTAATTTGTGTCTCAAATGGAACCATGGAACCATTCTCTTTATTTGGCCACTTAATTTTTTTTTTAATTATGGCTTTTTTTGTGCAAGGTAATCTTTTATGCTAATCCTGAGTCTCTGTAATGCAGCTGTCTCTGAACTCTGACTCCAACCTTGGGTCTAAATAAGAGGACTCAGCCTACCTATTCAGCTCTTCCTCAGTTTCCTAACAGTCACAGAGATCAGGTGCACTCATTCAGTGAAAGGAGTTAGCCTTCCCAGAAAAAAGAACACACTATAAGCCACTGCAATTCAGTCAGCATGGCACTTGTTCAAATGTAGACAGATAGGCCATTGAAACAGAATAGTAAATATAATTTACAGTATTTGGGAATTTATCTAAAGATGACATTATAGATCAGTAGGTAAAGGATATATAATTTCCTAATATGATGGCCAGTCAAATGAATTAAATTAAATTAAATTGGAAGACCAAGAAAAAAAAGGATGAGGGATATAAAGTAAATTCATCAATTTTAGGAGAAGGTCTAGGAGACTTACATGTAAATCTAAAGACAGAAGAAAACCTCTGAGTTTCTAAGACAAGAAAACAAGCTAAAGAAGAGATATCTATATTAAAGTATATTGGATTTTTAACATTTTGTTGTAAGTATACGAAGTAAGGAAACATAATTTTGATTTGGAAACAATATTAGCTAATGTTTATTGTATACGAAAATCTTCTTTAAATTGATAAGAAATTGGTAAATATCCCAGTAGCAAAATGGCAAAGAGATATGGATAGGTAATTCATGGAAGAGCACATCCAAATGGCCAAGAAACACATCAAAAGATGTTTGAATTCATCAGTTGTCAAGAAAATGTGAATTAAAATAACAATGAACTATCAGTTTATAAATGTTTAAAAGAACTAACATTCGTTGCTCTAGAAAAAATTGGTAAGGTTCCTCATTGCTGACAGACGTAAAACTTGCCATAACCCACCAGGCGTGGTGGCTCACACCCCAGGAGGCTGAGGCAGGCAGATCACTTGAGGTTAGGGATTCGAGACCAGCCTGGGCAACATGGTGAAACCCTGTCTCTACTAAAAAACAAAATACAAAACTTCGCTGGGAGCGGTGGTGCATGCCTGTAATCTCAGCTACTTGAGAGGGTGAGGCATGAGAATCTCTCGAACTGGGAGGCGGAGGCTGCAGTGAGCTCAGATCATTCCATTGCACTTCAGCCTGGGTGACAGAGTGAGACTCTGTAAAAAAAAAAAAAAAAAAAAATTGTTATAACCCTTTTGGAAAGCCATCTAGCATTATCTTTTAAAAACATGATGGGCCTTAGACTCATTGCCTCATTCCAGAGAATTTATACCAAGGAAATATCAATATAAACATGAATATATACATGACTGTAACTGCACTGATGTATATTACAGCCTCGTTGTGGCAGAGAAATAACTGTAAACAAAGTAGGGGGATATTTGACTAAATCATGACACACAAATTGTTTCATACAGTAGATTAATATGCAGTCATTAAAAAGAAGAAACTAATATTAAACTAGTTTACTTAGAGAGATTTTCAGGTTGATTAAGTGGGAAAAGGAGATAAAGTTTACGTGACATTCTACTTACGTAAAGTAATCACCAGAAAACCTCTGTATATACAGATAGTCCCTGACTTAGGATGGTTTGACTTACGATTTTTTTTTGCTGATAATGGTGCTAAATCAATATGCATTCAGTAGATCCATACTACTCTTGAAATGCTAGGCAACAGCTTTGAGCCATAGCTCCTAGTCAACTACACATTTTCAGCTTAGGATATTTTTAGTTTACAATGGGTTTATAAGACCGTAACCCCATCATAAGTCAAGGAGCATCTGTATTTTTTATATGTGTTTGTTTATGTTTCTTACCTGGAAATATACTCCTCTATTTTCAGTGCATGTTGAAGTCATACTTACCTTGTTAAACTGCCAAATACATTGGCTTAATATGGTTGGAAAAAAAAAAAAAAAAAAAACCTGGTGTAGAAAATTTCCAGTTATTCGTATTTGAGCTATAAAATTTTATAGAATGTGCTTACAGTGAATAATTTACCCTTTGGTCTTCTCAGAAACTGTGTGATCATGGAAAGAACACAGGCTTTGGAATCACAGAAATTGGTTCCAAATCTCTGTGTGAGTTTGGACAAGTTATGTAACTTCCTTCAGTCTTGATTTCTTCACCTAAATAATAATTGAACAGTCTGCTGGGGGCATTAAATGAAGTAATGTGTGTAAAACACCTAGCAAAGTAATTGAATGCATTAGTTTGTAGTTTTTAAAGGGTTAGGTTTTTATGGCTCTAGACATTATAATATGTTTTACTTGGCAATTTTTAAAATGTTCACAGTAGGAAGATAATCTTTTTTGGTTAAGCCAGGTTCGAGATCTCTTAATATGGAATTTATACCTAATTCACTAAAACTTTATTTATAACTCTAATTTCTTCAGAAGTTTCTTCTGCTTTCAGCTGTTTATTAAATGATTTTTAGGCTATTGACATTTTGACATATCTGTAGTGAACTGTGTAATCATTTTACAACTTGATGCCAGTGAAGACAATTACAAAAGTATATTTTTTGAAAGAGTAAAGAAGCTAAATTAAACCTATCCCAGCGGAAATGTAGTGAATTCCAAGAGTGATATGTGAGTGACCTGTTTTGATTGTTAGTAGAAAGTCCTGGAAATTTTGACCATACTGCTAGATTTTGGCATGGTTGTAAGCCACAATCAAGTAAATTTGGTGTAAAAATGTTAATAACAAGAACATACCTAGACATTCACTTGCAGTTACTACTTTTATATAATACGTTTTTCTTTATGGCCTACATTTTAAAATTTATTCTCATTTTTTGTTATTATATAGCTTTTAAAACATTACCAAATTTTCTGTTTTTTGAGAGCTATGCATTCCATTTTTCTTTAAGACTGGGACAGGGAGAAATTACTTGAAGCTTGGATGTCCAACCCAGAGAACTGCTGCCAACGATCAGGTGTTCAAATGCCAACTCCACCACCAAGTGGGTATAATGCCTGGGACACACTCCCATCTCCAAGAACTCCAAGGACTACACGCTCTTCTGTCACTTCCCCAGATGAAATCAGCTTATCTCCTGGGGATTTAGATACCAGTTTGGTATGATTTGGTATTCACTTTACTTCTCATAGCTTTATTTTTAGTCTTTTAGCATTCAAATAATTTAATATTGTTCCATGGAGTGTCTTATTGTATTCTTGTAATTGAATCCTATATCTTTCTTGAAAGGTTCAGTTATTTTCTTGCTTCAGTCAATTTTTATTATTACAGAATATTTTTGTAATCTCTGAATTGTAGATTGAAAAAAAGGTTTCTTTCCTCATTTCAAAACAGAGCTTAAAACAGTTTAGGGAAACCATCTATTTTATTTTCCCTTAAAACTTCAATTGCTAGGCCGGGCGCGGTGGCTTAAGCCTGTAATCCCAGCACTTTGGGAGGCCGAGGCGGGTGGATCACGAAGTCAAGAGATCGAGACCATCCTGGTCAACATGGTGAAACCCCGTCTCTACTAAAAATACAAAAAATCAGCTGGGCATGGTGGCGCGTGCCTATAATCCCAGCTACTCAGGAGGCTGAGGCAGGAGAATTGCCTGAACCCAGGAGGCGGAGGTTGAGGTGAGCCGAGATCGCGCCATTGCACTCCAGCCTGGGTAACATGAGTGAAACTCCGTCTCAAAAAAAAAAACAAAAAAACTTCAATTGCTTAAAGATTTAAATACAGGCCTGGTGTGGTGGCTCACGCCTGTAATCCTAGCACTTTGGGAGGCTAAGGCGTGTGGATTGCCTGAGCTCAGGAGTTCAAGACCAGCCTTGGCAACATGGTGAAACCCTGTCTCTACTAAAATACAAAAAAGGAGCTGGGCATGGCAGCATGCGCCTGTAGTCCCAGCTACTCGAGAGGCGGAAGCAGGAGAGCTGCTTGAACCTGGGAGGCGGAGGTTGCAGTGAGCCAAGGTCACACCACTGCACTCCAGCCTGGGTGACAGAGCGAGACTCCATCTCCAAAAATAATTTAAAATTTTTTAAAAAAATAGATTTAAATACAACATATTAGCCAGGCATGGTGGTGTGTGCCTGTAATCCCAGCTACTTAAGAGGCTGAACTGGGAAGATCACTTGAACCCAAGAATTTGAGACCACCTTAGGCAATATAGCAAGACCCCATCTCAAAATACGTACACACATATATATATCATATTGAAATATAAAAAGTTAAGTTTGTGGTAAGTACTGTAAACCAAAAATACAAAAACATTTTTTATAATGTCTTAAAAGCTAATTTTTAAACATTTACAATATATTGATAGTTATGTATTTGTTTCAGTAAAGCTTCTGGAGTTTGTTATCTAGATGCATTTCCAAAGTAAGTGTTTTGTTATTTTAAGAAACAGTGCTGCCATTGTCAGCGTTTTTAATTGGCATATCATTAGTGTGCTGTTATAGGAGATTTTTATATTTCTTGAATGACTCAGCCACTCAAAATATGTGATAAATATCAAAGTCCTTCTCATTTGATCTGTGCCTTTTTGAAAAACAGAATCCTGTAATTTGCAAATGTAACATGATAAATTTTGCTTCTAGAGAGTTATTATTTAGAAGATATTAAGTAGGCATAAAAGTGATTGCAGTTTTTGCTATTAAAATGGCATAATTTTAATGCATAGTTATTTTTTTGTTTTTTGGGGTTTTCTTGAGATGGAGTTTTGCTCTTGTTGCCCAGGATGGCGTGCAGTGGCGCAATCTTGGCTCACTACAACCTCCACCTCCTGGGTTCAAGTGATTCTCCTGCCTCAGCCAACCAAGTAGCTGGAATAACAGGCATTCAACACCATGCCCAGCTAATTTTTATATTTTTAGTAGAAACAGAGTTTCACCATGTTGGTCAGGCTGGTCTTGGACTCCTGACCTCAAGTGATCCACCCACCTCAGCCTCCCAAAGTGCTGGGATTACAGACATGAGCCACTGCGCCCAGCCTAATACATAGTTTTATAGCAGGGTTCTCTCCCTGGAAAGTCTGGACATCTTGAGTTGCCGAATTAAAAATACAGTTACTCTGCTTTTGTGGATTTTGAAGGGTAAGTGTAACATGAAGGACATGATACTGAAGTGGTTATTTTGCAATATACAATTTGATGTTGACCCAAATGATTTGTTTCTTGTACTTCCTTTTCCAAATGCACAATTGCTGATCATTACATAAATTTGGAATTTAAGGGTTTGATTTTTGCATTAAAACATTTAAATCCTATTATTATTTATAGCGAGGTAGTCATGGTATTTGTTACTCAAAGGCACACTAACTGTCCTTAAAACTTTGAAAGAGTTCACTTTTGAAAACTTTTAATTACCGTACTAGTATTTTTGCCTTTTAAAACAGCAAACGAGGCCGAGCGCAGTGGCTCACACCTGTAGTCCCAACACTGGGAGGCCGAGGCAGGTGGATCACAAAGTTAGGAGTTTGAGACCAACCTGACCAACATGGTGAAACCCCGTCTCTACTAAAAATACAAAAATTAGCCACGTGTAGTGGCGCACACCGTAATCCCAGCTACTCAGGAGAGACAAGAGAATCGCTTGAACCGAGAGGCGGAGGTTGCAGTGAGCCGAGATCATACCACTGCACTCCAGCCTGCCCAACAGAACGAAATTCCATCTTCAAAAAAAAAAGGGAACAAAATGAATGTATTGTTCTCTTTCAAAAGTATAGCTATGTTTAAATCATTGTTGTTCTTCATCTCCAGTGTGACATTTGTATGTGCAGTATCTCTGTATTTGAAGACCCCGTGGATATGCCCTGTGGACATGACTTTTGTAGAGGATGTTGGGAGTCGTGAGTATATGAGCACCTTAGCATTTCTTACTGCATGATAGCACTCTGATTTGTTAGTAAAGTTGTTTGCTTTCAGTATTTAATGATACGAATTGTTTATATTGACTTCTGAGTTACACAGAAATGAATTTAGACTCTACTAGTAAGGAAAAGTATTTTTGTTTTTATTTTTACATCTTCTCTAGCTATTTTAATTGATGCTATTTAGCTTAATATAAGATACCTTTAGAAACAAAGCAGGTATACAAATAGTTTTTTTAGTATTTTAATTTATATTATATCTAATGTAAATTTCAAACAAGAATATATTTGTCTTATATCCCAGGAATTTTAAGCATTTGTTTTTGTGCTGTCTCTGAATTTTCTGTGACAAGCAAAATGCCTTGAAAATCTGTAAGATTATGCATGTTTAAAATTCCTTTTTAGTGAATGCAAAGTTAAATGTTTCTGCTAGACATAGTTGGGTGTATTTTACAAATGGAAAATTTGTTTTGCTTCTTACCCTTCCCATTACCTTTCAAGATTTATACTTTTTTCACCATCCATTAACTTTGCTCTACATTACACTTTTCGAGAGAAGTTTCTAAACAAAGATTGATATAATTAGCAATGTAATATCATGTTTATCTCTGGAGACACACAAAGCTATTGTCTGATGCCCTAAGTGAAGCATGTCATTAGTATTTAAGGAAATCTTAGATATCAGAAGTTTTCAACCTTTTTTTTTTTTTTAATGGAATACCAGTTAGCAAGTATAGGGAGCTGGGGAATACTATGTGGGTGGGAGAGCAAGAACCTGAGCGGACTTTCTGAGTTTTTCTTTTTAAACAGCTTTGTTGAGGTACAATTGACATACATAAAGCCACACATTTAAAATAAATACTTTGATAAGCTTTGATATCTGTATACAACCTTGAAACCATCATGACAACTCCTAGAATCTCTCATTCCCAAGTTTCCTCATTTCCCATTGAATCCCTGCTACTCTTCTCTTTCCGCCTCCATTTTTATCACCCCCAATTTGTAGGCAACTACTGAGCTGTCATTCTGGTTTAATTTTTTTTTTTTTTTTTGAGACAGGGTCTCACTCTGACACCCAGGCTGGAGTGCAGTGGTGCTATCTTGGTTCATTGCAACCTCTTCCTTTTCAGGTTTAACCAATTCTCATGCCTCTGTCTTCCGAGTAAGCTGGGACTATAGGCGTACACCACCATGCCCTGCTAATTTTTGTATTTGTAGTAGAGATGGATTTTGCCATGTTGGTCAAGCTGGTCTCAAACTCCTGACTTCAAGTGATCCGCACACCTCAGCCCCCAAAAGTGTCTGGTTTGATTTTGAGTACATTTCTTTATCTGTTTTCCAAATTGGAGTAAGGGGCAAGATTTCATTTGGAGGGGGAAAAAACTACTGCTTTTTAAAAGTCAAAATAAATAAGAATATCTGGTTGTTCTTTTTAAGACAGACTAGCATCTACTCAGAGTCTACTTAGAATCAGATCTGTACAGGTGTTACAGGTAAAGTAATTGACAAGGGTCAGAACTCACAATCCAAAGCTATCCTTAATCCAGTTGTGGAGGCAGAAAATACCTCCCAGGTACAGTACTTTATTTGTCTTACAATTATTAACTGTACTGAATTAGGAAGTATTACCTGAGCTCTACCAAGTTAGCTGTTGGTCTTGGTGTGTATGTGAAAACTGAATCCTTCAAGGATTTTCTTGAATTTTTTTGAGCTTTATTGACCTTCTTCACCTGACTTGTATCACGGGAACTATCTCTCAAACTCATCACAAACTAGGCATAAGAACTTTATGGTAATATTTAAATTTGAAAGATCTAATTATTGATTTCCTTAGTACCTTCCAGCCTACCTGGGATTCTCTTTTCCACTCCAATTTTGTCAAATTAGTCACCAATAAAATAAGTTCCATGTTGGGTGAGTCATATGTTGATGAAATCTTTTTTTTTGTTTTGAGATGGAGTTTTGCTCTTGTTGCCCAGGCTGGAGTGCAGTGGCGCAGTCTCAGCTCACTGCAACCTCCGCATCCTGGATTCAAGTGCTTTTCCTGCCTCAGCCTCCTGAGTAGCTGGGATTATAGGTGCCTGCCACCAAACCCAGCTACTTTTAGTAGAGAAACGGTTTCATCATGTTGGCCAGGCTGGTCTCGAACTCCTTACCTCAGGCAATTTGCCTGCCTCAGCCTCCCACAGTGCTGGGATTACAGGCGTGAGCCACCTTGCCCAGCCAACGAAATCATTTTTAAATTATCACAGTTTTTTTCTAGGAATATAGAAAAAGATACTCCTGTCTAAAACCAAGGAATAGTTTTTAAAGGTCCTCAGATAGTTTGAAAGCCCCTCAGTCTATCTTACTCGTCCTAACATTTTTATCAGTACAGCTAGATGCTTTAGTGCAAGCTTGTCTAACCTGCGGCCCACAGGCCGCATGTGGCCCCAGGACAGCTTTAAATGTGGCCCAACACAAATACATAAACTTTCTTAAAAGTTACGATATTTTTTTTTTTTTTTGCAATTTTTGTTTTCACCTCATCAGCTGTCATTATTGTTAGTCTATTTTTTGTGTAGCCCAAGACAATTTTTCTTCCAGTGTGGCCCAGGAAAGCCAAAACGTTGGATACTCCTGCTTTAAAGTATGGATGCCAAGGGATAAAATAAAAGGGAATAGCCAGGCATAGTAGCACATGCCTGTAGTCCTAGCTACTTGGGCAGCTGAGGCAGAAGTATCACTTGAGCCCAGGAGTTAAAGACTACAGTGAGCTGTGATCACACCACTGCACTCCAGCCTGGGCAGTAGAGCAAGACCCTGTCAATCAGTTGATCAATCAGTCAATAGATTAGATAGAAATTATTTTCTAGCCAGAATAGAATTTCTTTGCTAATATTGAGGATAAGAGCTCAGATTCTGGTTGTAGCAGGCCACTGGGTTGTGAATTCCAACTCTGCTATTAGTTGTTGATTTAGGTAAGTGGTAGTCTGCCTGTGCCTCAGTTTCCTAATCTATAAAGCGGTGATAATAGTAAGTACTTCATAGGATTATCATTGGTTTTTAAAGTTTCCCACTATATGTGAAGTGCTTAAAACTGGATCTTGCATATAGTAATCACTCAATAAATATTACTTATCATCTTCCTAAGTGTTGTAATAAGCAGAGAGAGACTACCTATGATATCATCTGTGAATCTTGCCTGAAAGATAAAAATATAGGAAAAATTTGCCCCAGATTTATCTCTTTTACTGACACTGATCAACTCCATGTTCTGCTCATAAATTTTTGTTAAATTGTATCTTGATAAGAATAATAACATGGCTAAAAGAACTGATCCTATCTTCAATGATGTCTTCTCAGTTCTGTCATTTAATTCCCCAGATATGATTAAATCTGCTCTCATATATTTAAAATACATGAAATTCAAAACATCAACATGTAGTAAATATGTCTAAACAAACTCTGAACTTTGACAAGGGGCTATAAGTATTATAATAAATGATATCCCACTTATTCATAGCTAAAAAGAAGAGAATCTTGTTGTATGAACAAGGAACTCTACAGTTAACAGTTCTCTAACTTTTAGTCTTAAGACTTCTTTATAGTCTTAAAAGTTGTTGAGGATTCCAAAGAGCTTTTGTTTATATTAGATGCACTTATAGTCCCAGCTACTCAGGAGGCAGAGGTGGAAGGATTGTTTGAACCCAGGAGGTTGATGCTGCAGTGAGTCGAGATCATGCCACTGCAGTCCAACCTGGGTAACAGGATGAGACCCTGTCTCAAAAATACGTGTATATAAAATCCATTAGTCTATCTTGCATTTTGAATAGATCTTTTACCCATGCATCATTTTGTCATGTCATTCATTGATCATTTGGAAAATAATGGTCCCCTGAGTTATGCAGATCTTCCAACATTGACATATTTCCTTACACATAAATATAGTGAAAAATCACATTAGTTAATCTCATTACCAATCCCATCAGAAAAGTCTTTAAGTATTGGGACAGATAAAAGTTTTTCAAAGTTCTAATTTTTATTTGAAGGCTTGAATTTTATCATTGCCAACAAATGCTGTCATTTTTTTCCTTGAAGTGACAGTCTTATTTCATTCATTAAAAAAAAAAAAATGTGTCTGCCATACACCCAAGTCTGAATAATCATTGTTTATAGTCATTTTTTCCAATAAAAATAGTACTTAATGAAAAAGCAGGTATGCCTGCCTGCAACTTCAGCAGTCTCCAGAGAGCTTTGCTTTGAGACAACCATCATGTTTGGGTATACAGCAGCATTTCATTATGCTTACTTCCCATTTCTTTGCACAGAATACACAAAAGATGTCTATTGACGTGTCATCGTTTAATAAAATTAATAATTCTTACGATTCTATCAATGACTTTTTTTTTTTTTTTGAGACAGTCTTGCTCTTTCACCCAGGCTGGAGTGCAGTGGTGAGATCTTGGCTCACCATAACCTCTGCCTCCCAGGTTCAAGCAATTTTCGTGCCTCAGCCTCCTAAGTAGCTGGGATTACAGGCACACACCACCATGCCTAGCTAATTTTTGTATTTTTAGTAGAGCCAGGGTTTCACCATGTTGGCCAAGCTGTTCTTGAACTCCTCACCTCAGGTGATCTATCCTCCTCAGCCTCCCAAAGTACTGGGATTACAGCCCTGAGCCACCGCACCTGGCGAAGGACATTCTTAAATGAAACTTTTTTTGAAAACTGCAGGTGTAGGTCAGGGAAGAATACAAAGACAGTTTTATTGCCACTGCTCTGACTTGTTCTGAGGCACCAACAGTTTTAACAAAAAAAAAAAAAAAAAGTCTTAGTTCCATTATGAAAATAGTTTGACCTCATAAAACCCCCTGAAAAGTGTCAGGCACCCCCACAGTTTCACAGATCATATTTTGAGAACTGCAGCCGTCCAGCATTTCCCGAGTGCTTCATCCGTCTGTCCTTCTGCCAAAATATTTTTTGCCCTAACATTCAGAGTTATACAAATAATTGACTGACTGGAAACTGAGGTGCCTAATGCCCTTCTACTGAGATATATCAGAGTTTTTTGGAGACAATGCTGTTTTTAAATCATATTGGAAATAGCGGGGAAGATTTAAATCATGTTGAATTTAAAATGTCTGTGTAGCATTTAAATGAAAATATCCTGGGCTAGACATGGTGGCTCATACCTATAAGCCCATCACTTTGGGAGGTCTAAGTGGTAAGATTGCTTGAGTCCAGGAGTTCAAGATCAGTCTAAGCAACATAGCAAAACCCCATTCCTACAGAAAAATTAAAATTAATTAGCCAGGTATGGTGGCACATGCCTTTAGGTCCACCTACTTGGAAGGCTGAGGTGGAAGGATCACTTGAGCCCAGAGGTCAAGGCTTTCAATTTCAGTCATTAGCATATAGTTTTGAGGTGTTTAGATAACCCAGGGAGATTATATGAAATGGGAAGGGAAGAATTTTCAGGTGAAAATCCAAGAAGCAATATTTTTTTTTGAGACGGAGTCTCACTCTGTCACTAGGCTGAGGTGTGCAATAGTGTAATTTTGGCTCACTGCAACCTCCACTTCCAGGTTCAAGCAATTCTCCTGCCCCAGCCTCCCAAATAGCTGGGATCACAGGCACCTGCCACCACGCCTAGCTATTTTTTGTATTTTTAGTAGAGACCAGGTTTCACCATGTTGCCCAGGCTGTTCTTGAGCTCCTGATCTCAGGTGATCCACCCGCCTTGGCCTCCCCAAAGTGCTGGGATTACAGGCGTGAGCCACTGCGCCTGGCCACTGTATACCTTATACCTTATATGTCACTGTTTAGCACAGGAGTGAAAAAGGCACTTGTGAAAAAATGAATAAGGAGCTACCAAAGATAGGAAGAATGCCAAGGGAAAAAAATAATTCCTAGAAGCCAGAGAGAATTTGAAAGAAGGAAATGTTCACAGTGTCTCATGCTCTAGACAAATCAAGGAAGATAGAAACTGTGAGGTCTTTAATAAATTGGGCTAATGGGTAGGCATTGTGGCCCAATGAAGAGGTGATAGAAGCCTGATGCTACAGATTGAGAAGTGTATGGAGTGGATGAGGAAGGAATAACAGATCATCATAAACTATTTTATCAAGAAACTTTGATGTGACAGAAAAAGGAAATGAAACTAAAGAGTCATGTGGTTAGAAAGGGTTTTTAGAATGGGAAAAACTTGAGCATGTTTATTGTGCCCAGGTTAAGAGCCATTAGAAAGTGAAAGAAAGAAAAGATAGGTTAATGGATAGTGCAAGTCCCAGAGTTGGCCAGAGATTTGAGGATTAGCTTGGGGGTAAAAGAGGAAGCTCTCCCTTTCACTGAAGTGAGTGGAAAGAAAGGAAAGATTGCTAAAGATACTGTTGGGTTTGAGGTGTGGTATACAGCACTTTGAGTGACAGAATTGCCTGATGGGGACTCTGTTTTCTATGAAGTGCCCAGACAAGGGTATGAAAGAGAAGACGGAGCAAAGGAAACGGGCCTGCCAAGGTCTCAGTAAGGTTGCTTTCTTTTTTTTTGTAATGTAATGTAATAAAATTAAAAGAATGAGAGAACTAAAAAATATTATACTATAGTTGGAATAATCAAACTGTTGATGGTGAGGGCTAAGCAGTTGTGATTTAATGGCCTGGTTTTCCATTTATTTTCTCTAGATTTAAGTGTTAAATTCAATATACATAATCTGTACTTCAAATTTTTGTTTCTTGCTTTTCTGAGGGCAGTGTTACATAATAATAATAATAGTAATCCTTGCTAAAATGTATGAATTCTTACTCTATGCCATGCACCATGTAGATTGTTCACATATATAATCTTTATAACAACCCTGGGAAGTTCACATCATTATCTCCATTTTACATATGGTGAAACTGAGGCTTAAAACAGTTAAATAAATTGCTTAAGATTATATGCCTTATTGGTGGCAGATTTGGAATTTTCTGATTCAAAACCGTCCGTTTAGCTGGGCATGGTAGTACATGCCTGTAATCCCAGCCACTCACTCAAGAGGCTGAGGTGGGAGGATCGCTTAAGCCCAGGAATTTGAGACCAACCTATGCAACAGAGAGAGAGAGAGAGAGAGAGAGAGAGACTCCACCTTAAAAAAAAAAGGGGGGGAAGAAAGAAAAAAAGAACCCTGCTTTTAATCTAACCTTGGGCTAGATTCCTGCTTTCTTTCTTTGCAGGGCAGTTTTCCTTACTACTCAAGTATACCTAAGTAGGACCTAAAACTTATTTTAATATTCATCTAAATGAAATATAAAGAGAAAACCTATAAACCTATTTTTCAAAAAACTATGCTATATTCTAATGCCACCCCACAATATCTTGAATTATCTATGGCTAATTTTTATACCATCACCCCCTTTTCATTAAAGTTGTAGCATATCGAGAATTGAATATGATCTGAGCCACTCATTTCTGAATTTTTAATTTTAAATAAAAGTACTTTTTCAGATTGTTTCAGATTTTTAGAAATGATAAAGCACAATAGAAATGTAAAAAAATAAAATAAACAAGTGTATATATGTGTATATATATGTATATATATATGTGCGTATGCATATATACTGATATAGAAAATGAATGACTTAACAGATAATATGCATTACAGTTGCTATTTCACGTTTGTTGGTATTATTTTAATTATACTCTGACAAAAAATTCAGCATAAAGAAAAATTGACCAAGTACAGTGGCTTATGCTTATAATTCCAGAGCTTTGGGAGGCCAAGGCAGGAGAATCACTTGAGACCAGGAATTCGAAACCAGCCTGAACAACATAGCAAGACCCCATCTCTACCAAAAATTTAAAAATTAGCCTGGCATAGCAGCATGCAACTGTAGGCATGGCTACTCAGAAGACTGAGGTGGGAGGATTGCTTGAGCCAAAGAGTTTGAAGCTACAGTCATCTGTGATCATGTCACTGTACTCCAATCTGGGTGATAGAATGAGACCCTGTCTCTAAAAATAAAGGAAAGAAAAAGGAAAATTCTTAGAATGTGTTCACAACTTAATATCCTTACTCCTTTGCTGTCCATTGATCATTTTAATAGGTTTTTGAATCTGAAAATTCAAGAAGGTGAAGCTCACAACATTTTTTGCCCTGCATATGATTGCTTCCAACTTGTGCCTGTGGATATCATAGAAAGTGTAGTTTCAAAGGAGATGGACAAACGATACCTACAGTTTGATATTAAGGTAAGGTATGCTGCCAATTTTCTGTCCAACGTTTATAACATATTGTTTAATTCTTGTTTTATTTTTGAAGACAAAATAATGGGCTCTAACTTTTGTTAGAAACACTGTCAGAAAAGTTACATAAAGTAATGGTGACAAAATTTTAAGCTAAAGTGTTATTTTATAACAATAGGAAAGGGGGAAGGAGTACTGGTAATTTATGAAATTTAAAATAAAACTATTTCTCAGGACTGTTTATTAATTTGCCTGTTGCACTTTTATAACTGATTGATCAAGATAATGTTCAAATTAGATTGCACCTACTTTAAGTTTTCCGAAATACATTATCTTTTATGTCCCTAAATAAAATATTTGGAAATAAAGATTCTCAACTTGGAAGTTTATTATTATTTTTATTCCAAGTAATAGGTTTATATAATGAATTATAATGTTTATTTCTTTTTTTTTTTTCTGTCTTCTTTTTTTATTCAGAAGTCTTAAGTGTAGGCAAGTTACTTTATTTTGTGTATGATTTGTATGATTTAAAAGTTACATTTTAACTGCTCTATGCAGTTAAACTGAGTCTAAATCCTTTTTTTTTTTCTTTTTCTTTTTTTTTTTTTTTTTTTTTTT